TATATAATTGTCATTTACAATGTATTCGTGTTATCGACAAGTTATAAAACGTTTCCGAACTTTGAAATCGTATAATCGATATATTGGTCTATCACAAATCAAATACTATTTTTACTATTTATCTTTCTCTTATCTTGTAGCCTGAGTTATTGTCTATGGGTCCCGGCATACTTTTAGGCATTTGAATGAATGATATTCACTGTGATCGGTATAGGTTATTAATTATTAGTGAATGTCAGCCTTATTCTCAGCTGGAGTTATTTACAATTATTATTTATTTAACTAGATCACTATATCCACTTTAAATTATTTAACTAATAAATAATATTTTAAAACAAATAATTATATAGTATGTTTTACAACAAACACTAGAGTAATACGTGTGAAATAATCATCTCACCTTATTATCCCATCGTTACTATTCCTAAAAGGTAAACAGATCACTGCCTAAACTTTCATCATCAACTTAACCAAACTTTGCTTAGAAACCGGAATTTTTATAAATGCTGTTTATAAATCCAATTTGGAAGCGAGTAAGTACTTCTTTAAAATCGTGTCAGTCCTTTGATTAATTGATCTATCGTAAGTGTGAAAATTTACTAGAAAGAACATTAAGTAGAAGAATTTCAGAATGTCATACTCGGAATAGCATTTCAATCAGGATCCGACTTTTTCAAACGAATTATGACTTTTTTAAAAACTATTTATTAAAGAAAATGAAAAAAAAATCGTCTAAACTAAAAAAATATTTATTAAATGTTGACTAATATGTTAACAATTCATTGTTAAAATTCCCATAAAAATATATCTTTTTATATTAATCAAATACGTAAAAATTCCCATAGATAAAATGATAAATGTCGTCCACAGCATGGATCTAAAAACTTGACGAGTATTACTGTCGAAATATTTATGTATTCTGTGTTTTTAGGAATGAATAATACAAATTTCCCAAGAAATGAGTTGAATGAAATAATATGAGTTATTTTGATGATGCCACTAGACATTTACAAACAAATTTTGTAAAAAAGAACACAAACAAAAATATAAAAGTAAATTGGAGCAATTCCGACTAAATGATACCCTACACTAGATATGATAAGCTTGGGACAATTATGAACCACTATGTAGGAAATGAATGTTTGTTGGTAAAAACAAAAAACTTATATAGTATTCACTAAATGTATTATCGTCCGATGTTCAGAAACTCAGTTTCCTGGACGTAATTCCTAAGAGTTTTCCAATCAGTGTTCGTGAGGGATATTATATTATTATATCCGTAATAACATCTCCTCCAAGATATTTGGATCAATGGCAAAGAAAGTGCTCCAGAGTTTCACTGTCCTCTCTACTTGCTTTACATTCGTCTGAATCCTCACGTCCAATTTTTTATAGGTGAGCCCGTAATCCTGTGTGTCCACTCAGAATATGTACCATCATATTAACCTCAGATTCCTATTGTTATTTGCTCTAAAGCTCCGCTTGACCAAGACATTCTATCTGGGATCAGCGTTTCAAATTTCCGACATATTTTGTCTCTTGTATGCGATCGGGCACGACAGCTTACAGCTTTCCAATGTGTCCAGTATACATTGATAACGTGTCCTAAAACCGCTGTAATTCAGTTCACCTAAAGTTATGAGCCGTTCGGCTGTAAGTTAGTTAGTTAGTTAGTTAGTTAGTTAGTTAGTTAGTTAGTTAGTTAGTTAGTTAGTTAGTTAGTTAGTTTTAGTTAGTTAGTTAGTTAGTTAGTTTTAGTTCGTTCGTTAGTTCGTGTTATTCGTTCGTTAGTTAGTTCGTTCGTTCGTTCGTTCGTTCGTTCGTTTTCGTTAGTTAGTTCGTTCGTTCGTTCGTTGTTCGTTCGTTCGTTCGTTACGTTCGTTCGTTAGTTCGTTCGTTCGTTCGTTCGTTCGTTCGTTCGTTCGTTCGTTCGTTCTTCTTCGTTCGTTCGTTCGTTCGTTTCGTTCGTTCGTTCGTTCGTTTCGTTCGTTCGTTCGTTCGTTCGTTCGTTACGTTCGTTTCGTTCGTTCGTTTCGTTCGTTCGTTCGTTCGTTCGTTTCGTTCGTTCTTCGTTTCGTTCGTTCGTTCGTTCGTTCGTTCGTTCGTTCGTTCGTTCGTTCGTTCGTTCGTTCGTTCGTTCGTTCGTTCTTTTCGTTCGTTCGTTCGTTCGTTCGTTCGTTCGTTCGTTCGTTCGTTCGTTCGTTCGTTCGTTCGTTGTTCGTTTTCGTTCGTTCGTTCGTTCGTTCTTCGTTCGTTCGTTCGTTCGTTCGTTCGTTTCGTTCGTTCGTTTCGTTCGTTCGTTCGTTCGTTCGTTCGTTCGTTCGTTCGTTTCGTTCGTTCTTTCTTAGTTCGTTCGTTCGTTCGTTCGTTCGTTCGTTCGTTCGTTCGTTCGTTCGTTTCGTTCGTTCGTTCGTTCTTTCGTTCGTTCGTTCGTTCGTTCGTTCGTTCGTTCGTTTCGTTCGTTCGTTCGTTCGTTCGTTCTTCGTTCGTTCGTTCGTTCGTTTCGTTCGTTCGTTCGTTCTTTCGTTCTTCGTTCGTTCGTTCGTTCGTTCGTTCGTTCGTTCGTTCGTTCGTTCGTTCGTTCGTTCGTTGTTCGTTTCGTTCGTTCGTTCGTTCGTTCGTTCGTTCTTTCGTTCGTTCGTTCGTTCGTTCGTTCGTTCGTTCGTTCGTTTCGTTCGTTCGTTCGTTTCGTTCGTTCGTTCGTTCGTTCGTTCTTCGTTCGTTTCGTTCGTTCGTTCGTTCGTTCGTTTCGTTCGTTCGTTCGTTTCGTTCGTTTTCGTTCGTTCGTTTCGTTTTCGTTCGTTAGTTAGTTAGTTAGTTTAGTTTTGTTAGTTAGTTAGTTAGCTAGTTAGTTAGTTAGTTAGTTAGTTAGTTAGTTTTAGTTAGTTAGTTAGTTAGTTAGTTAGTTAGTTAGTTCGTTCGTTCGTTAGTTAGTTCTTCGTTGTTAGTTCGTTCTTGTTCTTTTTTTCGTTATTTTTCGTTATTCGTTAGTTCGTTAGTTGTATAGTTAGTTGTTAGGTGGTATACCTACACCTTGCCCTAGGCCTAAATCGGACATGTTGTGCGCTCCTTAACCAACGCCCACATATGTACATTTCTAATTTTTCTAACTCGATATCACAATTTCCAATATGTTTTCAACAATACCACCAACAATCTTTACCTGACACTCCTATGTAGGGTGTTTAGTACAATAAAATTAAATTTCATTCGAAAAAAAGAAACATAATTTTCAAAATGCATTTTATATTTACTATATGCTCTTTTAGTGTAGTAGTTGTTATTTCTGAAGTATCTGGTAGACAAGCTGTAACACAACGAGATACTATTGCAATTCTTCTACATTACAACAACACAATTTTATGAAAAAGGCCTCTAAAGAGCTTTTCTGTGACGTCATATGGAAAAACAACGTATTTAGAGTAAAACTAATATAGCTTTTCACTGAAAAGCATGCGCATTTTCCGATACGGTCTCTTTTTTCTAACCGACACACATTCAGCCATTGATTCATTCATTAACGTTTCCTCGCAGAACGTATTTCTGTGTTACGGTATTTCGAATAAAAATGAAAATGAACATCAAGCATTCTTTAGCATGAAATTTCTGTTAAAAATTTTATGGAAAATTCAGTGCAACGCGGACATTGGCCCCTTTAGCAAGTGTATACGGTAAAACGTTCAAATCGAGTTTTAAATTTCTTTTTTTGAGAAAATTTGTAAAAAATATATATATATAACGGCAGAAAAAAAAGAAAATAAAACGCAACGAAACAATAACAATTTGTATGGACTTTTACAACAACGGTGCGGTGTATAAAGTTATAAAGTGAATTTTTCTATATATATAAAAATATATATATTTAAAGTGAGAAACAAATATTATATATATATTTCTTGTTCTGTAGTTTATAAAAAACACACAGTATTGTTTGAAATAAAAATTTTAAAACTTTTTTTTAGTTTTTAATTTACTCGTTGCTTATAGAACTACATTTCAACGGAAATTTCAGTTTGACCGTAAAAAAAAGAAGAAAGAACAACTTTTGAAAGGCGGCACTTGTATGCAGTTTTTTTTTTTTAAATCAACAATAAACCGTTAAACAGCTGAAATCAAATGGGATTAAATATTTATCAAAAGTGCTTTTAAATAAATACGTTTGAAAATACAAAGTGTATTAATTGAAATATATAAAAGAATATTGAAATTTTTAACAAAATATTATAATGGATTGAATGAAAAAATTAATTATTCTAATTAATAAATAAATCATATATAAAAAAAATAAAAAAAAAGAAAACAAATTTTAAAATATAGAAATATTTAAAAAGAAAATTTTTTCAAACTCGTAATAGATTTGTTAAAATATTATTTCGATTTGTGCACAATGTTTTAAAATTGTGTCATTTTCAAAATATAAAGTTGCTTTTTATACAGATAATTCCTACTTATATAATACATGGTGCTGCAATTAGGAAAATAGGTTTATGGAGGCATGATAGAGGGACATTTAATTTAACTCTTCTTAAATCGAAAATAACAGGGAATACATCTTCAGGAACATTGCTCCACATACATACGTAGGATACGGCTGAAGTATAAACTTTCCCTATGCAGTCCACTGTCCAATCAAATGGGCGTGTTCTTGACGAAAGATGTGTTTTGCGTACAAATATATGGGCAACGGAATGAGTAGCCTAATTTCAGAGGAACATTTTCCAAATTATGAAATATAAAACACATTGCAATGTTGCTTTAGTGAATCGATATAGTTGAATGGATAATTGGATTAGTGTCAGTAATAAGTATCTCCGTCCTCTTATGTGCGCAGTCGAGTAGCTCCATAATAGAAGCTCTGACCCATACATATATAGGAGTTGCATTTCATTTTCTATGGGATATACATAAATAATATAAATCTTGAAAGCTGTAGTGAAGTGCTCACATGGTGTAAAGCACATAGATATATGTATGTCTTTTACCATTTTAGAAATGCGAGGCCCTTGAATACTTCTTTCGACACTTCAAAAATTCGTTAAGTCATGCCTAAAGCCTCAAGATTTCTGATTTCTTAAATATAGATGAAACAGCATTATATACCATGAGCAACCTTAAGTCTTTCTAGGTTTAAAATCGAAACCATTAATACCACCCCATTCAGAGATGAACGATGAGAGTTTAACGTGAACACCTGCCTTGATGGCCTAATTTCACGGTGGTCTTTTTCATCCACTGGGTAGACTAGAGACGGTCTACCACGTGCCCCTGAATTCTTCAATGAAGAACTCAGGTACAAATTTTGTACATGGCTGAGCCGGTCCATGTACAAGCACTTTGTTAAAGAACTCGAGCTATCTAATCTTTTGCCATAGTAGCCCCGTTGCGGAATAAGAGGCAGCATGGGATCAATCCCAATGCAAACCCCGACAAGGAAAAAGCAATCACTGGTCTAAGGCCAATAGAAGAAATAGGTGACTAGTCCCAACATCAGGTGAAATCATTCATTATTATGCATTATTATTATTATTATCATTGCATTATTCAAAATGCAATCCCCATCTTCTAATGACCCATTCGAGTGCATTCCTTAACCTCTTTAAACCCGCGCAACCACACTACTGAGATGGCTCTGTTGTTTTGGCAACAGCACCCAGAGACATATTTGGTAGTCCGAAATACCCAACAAAATGGATCAGGATCCCTCTTTTATGAACCGATCAATGTAACAAAGGAAATAGGAATTTCCAAAGTCAATTAATTCCAATATATGGAGGCTTCCCCGATCTTTTACGAATTTTCTCATCAGTTCCATTCCTATGATCATAAAGATCGCTCTACGGGATGACAGCAACCATTGAATACTAACCTGACAATTCCCCAGCATATACCGGCGTCCCATTACGCGACCGGTAAGAAATACCGATCGGGTTTAGGAATCCAGCATATGCTGCTTTGTACACAGACCTGTTCGAACAGAGAATTATCCAACCCATTAGGCATAGGATATATCAGTCCTTAAACCAACATTCTCTCCCCGCGATTTTGGGTATTAAACCACAGCCACTACGTGGATCCCGAAGGAACCTCAACCAATTGACCGGTCAGGACTAGGTCCTGTGGGCAACCCGTAGTGCCAGATTATATTTTGCTCTGGTTAGACCCCATGCCAAATCATTCCAAGGCGAAGCCAAGGATACATTTGACATCACCAGTTTATAGTCCCGGCTGACTAGAGATACTGGTAGCATCTCTTTACCCCGAGATTGCAATACACCATGATGGACATTTCATCATGGAAACTTGCCCCGGGGGGGATCCCATTCAGAGATGGTCGTGCTTGGGCGATTCATTCATGTTATGTCTCAATCTGCAAAAGGCTTAACCCTTAATTGAATGTCTAAAAATGACAGATATCGCTGTCATCGGCAAAAGTGTAGATAGAGTTGGAAGCTTGACATAGAAGATCGTCCATATAAAAACAACACAGGCCTCAAAGATTTAAAAAAAATGTCTAAACCCAGAGAGCTAACTATGCATTTCTAAAGGATTGAATATGGCAATATCATAAGAAATCTCAAGAAGCATGGAAATATTACGGAGATTAAACCTTTATTTTTAAGTCCACAAATTAGATTTTCCGACGACGTAACGGATTTTATGAATCAAGGTGTCTTTCCGCTATGATAAGGTCTTAAATATGGCCAAAACCGGAATTTTTCAGTTTTTTGGACGTGATATCACAAAAACCTGATGCGATAGAGAAATTCTGAAATTCCGAATTCATATTCGGATTTAGAAATGAATACTTTGGTCTCTGGATTGAAAAGTTGATGGCCTGTGTAATGAATAGAGTGGGAGAAAAAACGAAGGCCTCCGATACTCCTGAAGTAATTTTGAACACGTATGATGAGATCCCATCTATAACATCATCTACGGAAGGCATAGGTTCGTTTTTGATCGCTAAATACTTCAAAAAATGCAAGTTTCATTTTACATTTTATAACATTGTTATTATAAACTATTCCCGTCGATGAAAATTCTGTTCAAATATAGGTTAGGTGTGTACTAATCATAGATTCGATGAAATATAACTAGGCCGCTGTTGTGCATTCCTTTATATGAAAAATGTTTGTAGGAAAATTCGTATATACTGCTCTATAAAGGCATAATCGTCCGATGTTCAGAAAGTGTTATCGTTCGAAGTTCCAGACACTTTCGTTCGTCCAATTTTATATCTGTAGTTGTGAAATAGGATACGTACCATCATACTAAGACTAAGCTCGGTTTGATCATTCTGAAGGGGCTTTCCGCCTGACTTATGTTTATGATTTTGCATACGGTTTTATTATTCCAAGTGTCCGAATTAGTTCACTTAGCAATCGTTGTTTAAAGGTCCTTTATAGTAAATATACTCTTTCGGTACAGATTATTCCCGAGTGGAAAGTTAACCATATGATGCAAAGCTTACCTCTGAAAGACTAGTCAGTTAAGGCTCTCTTACAGTCCAATACGGTCTTAGATTTCAACTTATCACCTAATATCCCCCAATTGCCTTCTAGCTCTCGGGAAATATATTATCAACTATGAGAATAAATGAGAAGATTCCAAGTTACAAATTTCATTAAAGTCGGTTCAGCCCCCTTTAGACGTGGTAGACGAATATACATATAGCTGGGTATACTTTGTATATCTGATGCCAATCTTGCAGTAGTTGAGCTGAATGTATGACCTAATAGAACTAATAAAACATTAATAAAAACAAATTTCTATATTTTAAAATTTTATTCGCAAAAACATAACAATAAAATATTTATTTCTTTTCGCAAAAAAATTAGTGCAAGTTACTTCATAAAAAAGTTATAAAAAAATAAATGTACAACTCTCTCCCTAAATTAATTAAATCAAACAAATAAATATCAATTAAAATTTAATTAAACAACAACAAAAAAACCTTTTGTGCCACTTGAGTGATTAAATGAATATTGTGCGTATTTAAAAAAATTAAATTTTATATTAAACAAAATTGATACAATTTACGTTGTGTTTTTAAATTGTGAAATTTTCAACTTCATCAGACAATTGATTGTTCGAGTGGATTAGAGGAGATCTACAAAAAAAAAAACAAAAATTCATCAAACATTTGGAAAAAACAACTTGGATATAAACACTTTACTACATGGAGTAGAATACAGGTTGGTGTGTTTGGATTTGATTAATTTATTGTCTCTTAATTGTGTCATTAATTTAGTTGACATTTTTTTCTGTGTCTCTTTTGTGTTCATCTCCTGTTTTTTGGGGGGTTTTTATGTTTCACCTAAAAAGTGACAAATTAAAATGTGTTCAAAGCCACATTGAAATGAATAGAAAGTATATATTTCAATTAACTTAACAAATGTATTTATATGATGGATTAATTGTGGAGGTCGGTGTATTTTATTTTTGGAAATGTTTGACTTTCACTAAGGGAGGAGGGGAGGTCCGTTAAGGCTATAGACTAGACTATAGACTAAACTATAGACTAGACTATAGACTAGACTATAGACTAGACTATAGACTAGACTATAGACTAAACTATAGACTAGACTATAGACTAGACTATAGACTAGACTATACACTAGACTATAGACTAGACTATAGACTAGACTATAGACTTGACTATAGACTAGACTATAGACTAGACTATAGACTAGACTATAGACTAGACTATAGACTAGACTATAGACTAGACTATAGACTAGACTATAGACTAGACTATAGACTAGACTATAGACTAGACTATAGACTAGACTATAGACTAGACTATAGACTAGACTATAGACTAGACTATAGACTAGACTATAGACTAGACTATAGACTAGACTATAGACTAGACTATAGACTAGACTATAGACTAGACTATAGACTAGACTATAGACTAGACTATAGACTAGACTATAGACTAGACTATAGACTAGACTATAGACTAGACTATAGACTAGACTATAGACTAGACTATAGACTAGACTATAGACTAGACTATAGACTAGACTATAGACTAGACTATAGACTAGACTATAGACTAGACTATAGACTAGACTATAGACTAGACTATAGACTAGACTATAGACTAGACTATAGACTAGACTATAGACTAGACTATAGACTAGACTATAGACTAGACTATAGACTAGACTATAGACTAGACTATAGACTAGACTATAGACTAGACTATAGACTAGACTATATAGACTAGACTATAGACTAGACTATAGACTAGACTATAGACTAGACTATAGACTAGACTATAGACTAGACTATAGACTAGACTATAGACTAGACTATAGACTAGACTATAGACTAGACTATAGACTAGACTATAGACTAGACTATAGACTAGACTATAGACTAGACTATAGACTAGACTATAGACTAGACTATAGACTAGACTATAGACTAGACTATAGACTAGACTATAGACTAGACTATAGGCTAGACTATAGACTAGACTATAGACTAGACTATAGACTAGACTATAGACTAGACTATAGACTAGACTATAGACTAGACTATAGACTAGACTATAGACTAGACTATAGACTAGAATATAGACTAGACTGTAGACTAGACTATAGACTAGACTAGACTATAGACTAGACTAGACTAGACTAGACTATAGACTAGACTATAGACTAGACTAGACTATAGACTAGACTATAGACTAGACTATAGACTAGACTAGACTATAGACTAGACTAGACTAGACTAGACTAGACTAGACTAGACTAGACTAGACTAGACTAGACTAGACTAGACTAGACTAGACTAGACTAGACTAGACTAGACTAGACTAGACTAGACTAGACTATAGACTAGACTAGACTATAGGCTAGATTATAGACTAGACTATAGACTAGACTATAGACTGGACTATAAACTAGACTATAGACTAGACTAGACTATAGACTAGACTAGACTATAGACTAGACTAGACTATAGACTAGACTAGACTATAGGCTAGATTATAGACTAAACTATAGACTAAACTATAGACTAAACTATAGACTAAACTATAGACTAAACTATAGACTAAACTATAGACTTAACTATAAACTAAACTATAGACTAGAATATGGACTAAACTGTAAACTAAAATATAGACTAAACTATAGACTAAACTATAGAAAAAACTATAGACTAAACTATAGACTAAACTATAGACTAAACTAAACTAAACTATAGACTAAACTATAGACTTAACTATAGACTGGAATATGGACTAAACTATAGACTAAACTATAGACTATACTATAGACTAAACTATAGACTAAACTATAGACTAAACTAGACTAAACTATAGACTAAACTATAGACTTAACTATAAACTAAACTATAGACTTGAATATGGACTAAACTATAGACTAAACTATAGACTATACTATAGACTATACTATAGACTAGAATATAGACTCAACTATAGACTAGGCTATAGACAAAAAATATAGACTAAACTGTAGACTAAACTATATTCTAAACTATAGACAGGATTAGCTGGATATTGCGAATAAATGTAGAAACTGTTGCCTTGCACTGACACTGACTGACGTTAAATTGTTTTAGAAAGTACAAGTCCCAGTGTTAGCACTCCAAAAAACTTGCAGATATACATACTAATGTATGTTTCTTTTATTTTTTATTTTGAAAGTCCCCATATTAGCACTTCTAATAACTAGGTCTCTGAAATGTATTATTTTGTAAAAAAAAATTTTAAAAGGTCACACAATTCTTAAAGCAACATCAATTTCCCTCCCTTTATACAAAAGTGACAATTTTCTTATTATTTATGCCATTACTGGGAATAGCTTCTTTCACCTTACTACCGCAAAATTACCAACAATAACAATGGCAATAATAATAAACAATAACAAAAAAAAAAAAAACAAATTCCCAATGGTAACCATATCCACCTACTATACTGACGAAAGCGCGAGAAACGCCTTACTCTAGAGTTTACAACAATTCACACAACGTAAATTGTTTACTTTTAAAGCTGGAAGGGATTTCTAAGAGGTACTTTTTGATTTGAAATTAACAAAGACAAATTGTCATGTTTCCTTTTTTTCTTAGTTGTGTCAGAGAGAACGATATACCAGAATCACAAGAAAATAGTGTGTAACAAAGTATCATTAAATGTAGGGATTAAATGATGGTGATTATTATGGGTGTCTGGTAGATAAATGTTGCAAGTTTTTTCTTTCCATTTTTTGTGTTGGTCAGTTAGTCATCGCAAATTTTTTGACCATAGAATCTTAAATATATGCGTTACTATATATTGTTGGGTATTATTTATTTTACTGTGCATTAACTATTTAGATGTTGCCAAATAATGTTTGTAATTTACCAAGTACGTGATCAAGATTTACATGACACCGTAATTTGTAATCAATTTTTGTTGTAGTTTTATTTTGAATACAATTCCATAGCAGTTATTTTCCTTAAGTTAAGGGGATGTTATGAGTGGACAATTTATTATGTTATGCGTTTGGAAAACTGTTAATTAAACAATTTCAACAACTTTTGGGCAATGTTTGTTATTCATTTGAAAATGCGGTACTATGCGGTACTTCTTGAAATATGCCTGTACTAAAATAAATATCTCACTCTGCACTCGTGCCGAACCTGTTACATATACAAATACATACAAATGTATGTGTATTATGTTGTTACGATTAATCTTCCTCCTGGTCCAGTATGTATGCCTATAATATGACTTAACGATTTACTACCAAAGGCTAACGGAGTCAAAGACGTGATGATAATGTCAGATCATTTTGGACATTCTGCAATTAAAAATCAAAACTTGAGTTCAAAATTGTTCCAACATCCATTCTTCGATTGCATTCGATACAATAACCAGGGAAATGTGAGTATCTTTCCGAAACAGTTTCGCCCGAGGACGATCCGTTAATTTGAGATTCTTTGGTAATTTCCCTTCCCCTTGTGTCCTGGAACCTGAAATAATTCGATAAAGATGGACAGAAATGTGAATATCCAGGCAATATGAAAATCACTTTGCGAAGCAGTTTCTTTCAAGAACTTATATGTTGGGACATGGAGTGAATGCAATAGAGAATCTTATCATTCGACATTATCATGTTTAATATCAGTGCCTTGAGAAAGGCAAGACTCAATAAGTCTTTTTCTCAAAATTTTGTTATCATATGTTTCTAGAGGCCGTGTTCTAACTGTTCCAAATTTAATACAAATTTCGGAAAGCAGCGCTATCGATGTACTTTGGCAATCCTTTCAGATAAATGACTTATTATATCCATGCTTAATCCTAACATATATCTTTATTATTAGCATCAGAGTAATTTTCGAAATAGGACCATTAAGGGCTTGGGTCAATTTTGATTCTACCTTTATAGAATTTTCAAGAGTGATTAATTTCATAAAACAAAACATCGTTTTATGAAGCGAACCTTATATGGGGCATAGGGACCAAGATGTAACGATTCTCATGA